TTGGCTATGCAATAGTCAAATGTGACTAGCTGGGGGGAGTATCAATCGAGTTCTCATCGAAATTCAAGTAAAAGAGCAATTCAAATTACTTATAAGAGATATGAGGCCCTTAACTCTTTAAATAGGACCATTTTGATCCTACAATTAAAAAATAATGAAATATTCATATGGCAACGAGGGTATGATTGGAATAATCACAAAAACAATAATATAAAATGATAGTTAACTTCACAACGAGCAAGCACCCATAGCTACGTCCGATCCAACAAGAAGAACAACGAACTTTTGTGACTTCCGATTCGATAGGAAGGAACGTCGTCGAAGGAGACAAAGAATGCTTTAACAAGTAATTGAAAAGCCTCCCGTCACTACATCTGATTGAACGATAAACTTTAGTGACTTCCGATTCGACAAGAAGGAACATTGTCGAAGGAGGCGAAGAAGGCTTTAGCAATTCGTTCAAAACCCTACCTCATGTGAAGCATGGAAAGTCACTAATGAAAAAGGCGGAAAAGAAGAAAGAGAGAAAATTTTACTGTAATTAATTAGGAATTAATTTATATAATTTAATTAATATAAATTAATAAATTTTAAGAATTAATTAGATAATTAATAATTAAATAATTTTCATGATTTTAAGAAAAGAAAAATTAGGAGGTGGGCATGGATCATGGGAAGCGATTTATTTACCCGATCCTAAAATGCCATCCAAAGAAAGATTCTTGATGGGTGAGGCGTGAGGTCGGTCGTTGCATAAAGTGTCAAGGCATTTGTCAACAAAATTCATGAAAGAATGGAATTATTGGAGAAATGTGCCAATGGATACAAATTGGAAATCAGCTTGTTGGAGGGACTTTCGAATTTCTAATAATTGTATTTCTTGATTTGTTTGCATGGTGCGTAGGATTTATGTTAAATTGGCATTTTTCACGGTGTAAGATTGGAGGATGAAAAAAGATGATGCCCAGCTAGTGTTAGAAAACAAGAACATGAAACTATGAAAAGAGAGAAAAAACTAGTAAGAAAATGAAATTGAGAAAACAATAATTTAAAATAACGAAAAGAAGACAGAGAACCTGATGTTATATTGAATGACATGGGTGCTTAAAAGGAAAGTTACGGTTAAATGAATGTTATCCATGGAGTAGCGGGAGTCGACGGAGTCGGCAATGTCACTTCAACCGCCAGAAGATGATGATCTGGATTGGTTGGTTGGGAATAGATGGCTGCTGACGTCAATGCCAAACGGAATAGCTGAACATGTTGATTTTGTTAAAAAAAACTCCAAGAGTGGGGCTACAATGAAGGATTGTCGTTCTTGAAAACAGCGAGGGCTAGATGGCTTGTTGTGCTGGAAAATAATGGCTACAAAAGAGGATTATTTAACAAGATGTTTGTGTGAAGAATGCTTCTTTCCTTGGTGTTCTTGAATAGTAATATGCAGCCAAATCGAAGACTAGTGTTGTTTTTGTGTAAAGACTGTTGTTGGAAATGGATGGTGAAGTTGGTAAGCAGCAGATGTGGCTGGAAGATCCCTACGAATGCAGACTTGTTGCAAGAATGTGGTTAGCCTGTTGAGTACTGGACAAAGCCATATTGGATATGAAGTATAGAACTACCAGAAAGAAATGGTTCTAGTTGTGGTGTGATGTTAGGGTAACGAGAGCACTATTTGATAAGCTTCTTGACCAGTCAAGAAGATGGTGCGCCTTTAGAGTAGGCATAAACTCCAAAAAAAAAAGAGTAAGAGAAACTGGAGAGAAGAAGAAAGAAAATTTAGAAATTTCTTTTCTCATATCAAGTCTTTACAACTAGAAGTGTATTTATAGTACTTAGGTGGATCAACATCACTAAAAAATCGGTCTACCTAAAACAAATAAAAAGAAAGAGTAAATGAGTATTACATATGTGGACCCATTGGAATAACATATTTGAATTTGTAATTTATGTTGTCAAAACTATGTTCTTGTCACTTGTGATTTGTGGAATGTGTTTATTCCTTCTTCTATGATAGACTTTCATAGTTGTGAGTTATTCTGCCATGTTTGTAGCTCATGTTTCACATTTGGATTATACAACTTTCATATCTAATAAAATATGTTGATATTTAACGATGTCTCCCTAGCTCTTATAGTTTTCACTAAGATATAAATAATTTTCATGATACTTTCGAAAACTGCTTCGCCAGACGCATAAGACTTAGTTCTTCCCTAACCTCATCTTTATATCTAGTTTACATTCACATTTGCGAACCATTTGATTGCTTACAATATCCACCATAGTTCTTGAATAAAGGATACCGCATCATCATGCAACTTTCGAAAGCATCCTCTACATTGGAGCAGGAGTGTGTACGGCATTTCTTATTTACCCTAAATCTCATTGTTGGTCAATTTTCTACGGCATTTCTTATTTACCCTAAATCTCATTGTTGGTCAATTTTCTATAGCGTATTAGCCAGAGATAAACGGTTTATTAGGCAACATGATGGAAATTGACATAATGATATTGATCGTCATTAAAGGTACACTTTACTTTATAGGGGTCAATCTTTATAGGTTGTTGAATATTTTATTAGTATGTGACCCAAACAGTTATTCTACCACTTTGGCTAAGCTAAGGTCTTAAAAGATTATTATTCAAATAGAGTCACTCGAAAATTTAGGTTTTCACAAGCAACTGTATAAAAATGTTTGATTTTCTTCTTGGTATAACAAACATTAGCCAGATGAGTTCAACACTCCTAGAGTCCCACATGTGCATTGCTTTTATGATGTTAGTATCATTACTCAAACTCGATATACAGTCTAAATTCTGTCTAACACTGTCAGATAATAGTATGGGAGCAAGTTATAATCAATTGATTTGGGTAAGATTATATTTCACACCTTTCATAGAGTATGGTGCCAAAAGATATGAACGCCACAAGAGGCTGCTAGTGGTCCCTCAGGGTAAAAAATCTAGCTCTGCGCAAACCAATTGCAGTGGAGGTATTGTCTTTTGCTTATTCATTATTTCTTTTATCCATTTGAATCTTCTTCTTATGTTTGATTTCATCTTTAACCTAATTATAGGTGGCCAAGATGATCGAGAAATTAGCAAAAAGGCTAGTTCTTCACCCATCAGAGTATATACCAAAGAAACCTCTCCAGGTTACACTAATGTTCCTACACTAATAAGGAAGTGTATTTGTTCTCAACCTTTAGAGAATACACGTGTTCTCAACCTTCAGAGCCTACACATGCTTTTGTGGATTAGATAGCAAGTCCCATACCGCAACAACTTCAAACTCTTGAGCAGATACCATTTGTTCTTCTAGGACGCCCGTAGATGTACTGTATGCATTTTTTGAGGGCTCTTAAAAAATTTGATGAGCATACAGATACTTGATCCAATCATTTCTAATGTAAAAGTGTTTTCCGTAGAGCCAAGCTTTCTCATAGACCCCTTTCATTCTTCTTGGCCAAGTCAGCATCAGGGCAAGGGAATCACCACCCATTGAAGCACATGATGTACCCACGTACACCTTAACATATCTTGACTTAGCTGCAGTATCTCAAGCCTCTCTTTATGGTAGTCCCAAAACACAATTTGGAGAATCAAGCTCAGGTGATACTTCTCCTTTCCATTGCTCTTTCCTCCTATTATTTTTTTTCTAAATAAGAATAATGTTTCACTTTTCTCATTTCTTATAGTGCTAGGAGCAAAAAACCAGTCTGAGATATATTATCGGCATCCATCATTCGTCGATCAAAGAATCAAGGATATGCAAAACCATAGCACGACACTCATCAAAATTTATTAATTTGAGAGTGATGATTTAATACATTGGGAACCAATATGCGGCAAAGCTAAATTTTTAATTCGTTATCCAAAGTTTCTATCATGCAAAATAAGGTTTCATTGTGTGATCTTTAAAAAAACGAGTTTGAATTCGTTGAGAGGTTGCTAACATGGCACACAAGAATTTGAAAAATGTGTTGAAGTTATAAGCAAGAACTAGCATAGATCCGACAACATTGCATCCGAGTTTGATAACCTTTCCTTAAAGATTAAAAAAAACTTTTGAAAGAAGATTAAAGACTTGGATGTCCTCTAAGATGAATCTCAAGTAAAACATGAAAGAAGGGTAAAAGCGACCAGAAGCGATCAAGATCGCTATCAAACATGACAACCTTACCACGAAGTTTGGTAATGAGTAATGACTGAGTTTGCATAATTTGTTTCTTCATGCGGTATAAATTAAACTCCGCAACTTAACACCAAACACTCACCCAGCAGACCTCAAAGCTACTCTTCCAAGGAATAATAGTCTTTTGAATTTTTTGGGCTTTGGCAATTTTATCAATCCCTAAATCCTGTAACACGTGGCCAAACAATTTGCAACATTTAATCAGATTTAAGAAAAGCACAGCCAAAGAGTTCTCAGAACTTAACAGTTGCATTTTGCCATTTAACAAATCCCACTTAACTTATACCCTACTTCGTATCAAACCATCCCTGCCCTAAATCTGTTCATGAATTGCGTCTGCCAAAAAATCATCAATAGCCGGAAGGCCTTAGAATCAAACTAACCACACAGCTCATCTTGGCATGTTGGTTGAGAGCTTAGGCTACCAACTAAGAGGTTTTGATTCGAGTATTCGTGTATGCAATGTGTGAATCTGTCTTAATTGACCTAAACGTAAAAAAAAAATAATAATAAATAAAAAAAAAAACAAACTAACCGAATCAGATTAGCTGAAGTGAAGGAAAATTTACAAAGAAGCAGTTTCTAGTTGATAAAGAGCACGAATGAAGGATTTTCAATGCAGAAATAATCGTACCATGAAGCACTGGAAAATACAGATTGAATAAAAAGGTATATGAGAACTCTCAAAATTTTGAGATCCAGATGGGAAAAGACGAGCTTTCCACAGACGGAAAAAACCATGAAAAAAAAACCTAGTGAAAGAAATCGGAAATATGGGAAATGCTAAACAAATACAGAAAAGTGTTACCAAATTGGAGGAGGAATTCGAAGAGGCGGCGGACGTTGAGTGAGATGTTGGAGATGAACTCGCGATTCTCCCAGTCGGCCTGCACCGCGATGCCCACATTTACCGCATTCGTGATGCCTCCCGCCCTCGCCATTTGCAACGGGATCAATAAACCACTGAAAGCAGCACCTACGAAGGCGCGAGCAATAAACCACAGAAAGCAGCACCTACGCCTTCGTCTCTCTCTCTCTCAAGCTTTTGGGAAGACTTTCTTGCTGCTTCTTAAAAAAGCTTTTTAGTACAATAATTTTAATTTTTGTAATAAAAAGCTGTTTTAAGAAGTAATGAGAAAACTGTCCCAAACGAAGCCTCAATCGGTTGATCGCATTTCCACTTTTCTCTCCCCGATCCGCAGCAATGACTGGCCTTTCGCTAAGATTAATTTAGGGTTCGTTTAGGACAGCTTTTTAACTGCTTCTTAAAGCAGTTTTTTAGTACAAAAGTTAATTTTTTTGAATTAGAAAGCGGCTTTAAGAAGCAAACAGAAAGCCATCCCAAATGAAGCCTCAGATTACTAAAAGTAGATTAATTCCGATTACGATTTAAAGTATCAAATTCTAAAAAATATTATTTTAAGTTGAGTGTCTAATTATAGTGCAATTATATTTGTTGGATCAAAATTTATGTATAGTACATATTGACTTTGCTAGCAAATAAGTTCTTAGAGGCTTGAACCAATAACCTATACGTGTTTATTATGAAAACGAAAAAGAAGATCATTGGGATAGAAAATACTTTACTAACTCAATAGGGCTTCTAAGATATATTAAAATATTCAAAATGTACATCTTTATCTTTTATTTATAGTACTTTGTAAGGTACAAAAAAGTAACACAAAAAAAGATAAAAAATATAATGATAAATGTTTCCAAATACAGAATGTCCTAGACATATGTGAAGTTCTGTTTCTGCTCCAGGATTGTCCAGGACGATCTGGGATCGTCCTGGGACGATCAGTTGAAATTTGCTCCAGAAATTGCCCAGATTGCTCCAGGTGATTTTTCTCCCAGGATCGACCAGGTCGATAGGGGCATCGTCCCAGGCCGATCAGTTCAGTGCAAAAGACAGAGAGCAGGACTTTTTCAGAATTAATTATCGTCATGAGGATCGTCCAGGGAATCGGCCAGGACGATGGGTTTTTAGTCTGATCGTCCAAGACGATCGAGGCATCGTCCCGGGACGATCAGTGGATGGCATAAGTCAGAGAGCAAGGGGTTTTTGAAAATTAATTATCGTCCTGAATCGTCCTGTCAAATCGTCCCAAGATGATGTGAAATTGGTCTGATCGTCAAGGATGATCGTGCGATCGGCCAGGACGATCTGAATATTTTAAAGCTAAAATTAGGTCATTTTGAAGAGAGAGAGAAAATCAAAATAAATATCTAAAATCAACCGAGGAGAGAGAAGCTCGAGGAGATTTGTGGAAAAGTTGATTTTCGGGCGACGACGGGCCGTTTTCGTCCGTCGTGACAGTTCAGTAAAGTGTTGTACGCAAGGTAAGGCACATTCTACCTTTCTCAATTTTCAGAACGGTGCAATTTGAACGACTTTTCTGTCTGGATTTCGTTTTTGTTAATAATTTCGTCCGTATTTTCCGACTGGTTCAGTTTTTACCGCGTAAGTTTCCGTATGTTGTTGACGTGCCGAGTGTGCACATTTTGGTTATTTTCTGGGAATTTTTGTCCGGGTATTTTGAATTCGGCGGTGTTTTATTTCGCCTGTATTTTCCTGTGATGAGATTAAATGTTGTGGCAATAGAATAAATGTTCTGAAATATTGTTATCTATATTCTGTGCGAATTTGGTATTCTGTGATTTTTCAGGAAAAATTGTGTAAATTCTGTATACAGCCGTTGTGCTGCCCGATTTTTGTCTGATTTCTGAATTCGTCCGGATTTCTTCTGAATTGATATGCTATCTGTATATGCTATATAAAGGGAGTTATAAGGGGCCTGGATCCTAAGAGATTCAGTTAGTGTCTGGGAAATCTGAAATGAGCTCAATCTGAAATCTGATATCTGTTCTGTTCCGGATCCGATGAAATCTGTTCTGGTGCTATAAGCACATCGGTTCTAGTGTCGTGAGCACCAAGGGAGGCATAAGGGGCCAGAATACGTAGAGATTCTATCAGTGTCAGGGAATTTAGCTATTAATTACAATACTATCTGATATCTGATTTGATATGACTTCTGTTTCCGTACAGTTCTGGTTGATATGTTCTGTATCTGTTCTGATTTGATATATGTCCGTATCTGTTCTGATTTGATCTGTTTCATTCTGATCTGCATGATTTTGACACCTGTCTGATTCTGTTCTGGTTTCTGTACGGATTTGGTTTGAAGGGTTTAGTTTTGGATTCTGGAAGTTTTGATTGGAGGTTTGTTGCTTTGCTGAGCTGTTGAGCTCACCCTTGTTTTCTGCGTGTGTTTTTTTCAGGATCTGGGAAAGGGAAGGAGGTCTTGGACTAGAGTTCAGAGTTTGATCAGATCAGTTATAGGTATTTTGTACTTTTTGATTTTTGTACAGTCGTGGCTTTTCTTCTTTGTTTTCTCTATCAGCCATGTACTGTATTTGTAGATGATTGTTTTGAGGAAAAGAAAAATATAGATGATTTGTTCCGCTGCATTTGATGTTTCATAGTAGCTCTGTGTTTGTCTGTTTTTGAGTTGAAATATTTGGTAGAATCAGTTCCGAAGCAAATTCCAAAGCCAGATCCTGGTCTGTCTGTTCGTTAAGCTGGTCACGGCCCGGTGCGGGCGGGATCCATCTCGGGTCGGGTCGTGACAATATATGTCTTATTATACGGTAAGAACTTTGTACTAACCCAACACTCTAGCCTCAAGGCTAGTTCTCTTGTGTAGTGTTCCTGAGAGGGTTGATGGAGGTGATTTTTCAAATAGGTTGAGTTAGAATAACTGCAATAGATGAGTCCTTTAGTAGCACCAGTGACCTCATATACTCGAGCTATTTTGATATGAAAGACAAGTTCACTTGAATTTTTGGGGTAATGAGTATCATGGTTCCTCAAGCATGGGGAAATGAGTTTGATTTTCTTTGATAACCCTTCCTTGTGACCATGCTAATGAATTTCATTGGTCTCCCACCGGTCGAGGTGATAAACAATCATTTTAAGAAGGCACCTCCCTCTGATGAAATAAGCCCTTCAAGTTTGGTGGGTCTTATATGAACCCTAGGTGTTTTCTGGAGAGGAGACTTCACATGAATTTCTTTCCATGTTGAGAATGATCACTCTTGGATGGATCTATATTATTTGGTCTATTGGGCTTGAGTTCTATCATAATGACTCACTAATACCCTATTAAACACATTAGAAGATATATATGACTATATATTTAGTTCCCCAATTTATTAATCCTTTGAAGGGAGAGCTGTGGAAATTACAAATTAATCTTTCTTGTTGGGTCTATTGGGCGAGCATTTATTTTAGTTACCAAGTAATTAAAAGGAAAGTAAATACAAAGTTATTGTCAAATTTTTAATTTAGCTTCAAGCGACATGCTAACTCCTTATGATGATTGTGATGTGATGGTGCTCTCCCTTTCCTCATGTAAGTATTGGTCTTCCACTTGAGGCTTTTTAACCTTTAGACATGTTTCTAAATTAATGCATGTTACAAGGAAGTAGGACATACCTAGTTGAGTTAGTTATGCTAAGAAACAAGTTATTGAGTAGAGAGGGTTAAGAAGTACCCTGACCCCATAGAAATTAAAGCAAAGGTCACTAAGATGGTTCTTCAAATCTTCGAGGAATATGTTAAGTCTTCTATTCCCCCCTAAAGAGAGTAAAGATTGAACGGATACAATAAAAAGGCCATTGTGTTATCAACTAAAGCTGCAAACACATTGGAACCTGCCATTGAAGCTAAGGTAGGCTCTAATATGAGAACAACAATGCTCTCCTTGAGTTATGTGGATATTATTAGTGTAAATCATGGTTAAATTTTTAGTATCTATTTAATTGTGAAAAAGTCTTTATTTAACTGTGATGTGCAGGAGAATCTATGAAACATGCTATAAAATGGAAAATTTGCCTAAAGTTCCACTGTGCCACAGCAAACTGTGTCGTAGCATCATCAATACCACAGCGCTTGTTTAGAGCACCGAAGGGCCATAACTCTCAGTAATTTTCTAAAATAAATGCACACCCCAATGCCATATCCTCCAACATCATGGCGTCATCAATGCCCTAACGCTAGAACCTAGCGTTGTAGTGGGTATACTCTCAAGAAAATTTATAATTAGTTCCATGCCCTTGCATCAGTTAAGGCCACATATGTCGCTCTAAAATTTAAACTAGTAATAATTGTATATTTTATAATAACAACTGGAGGTATCTAATTTCTTTCAATAATATAAATATCGGTGAAAATGAAACTATTAACTAAAACACAAATATATATATCATTAACCAAAAATCATGTATGATGGTTATGAGTCATTTAAACGTAGCATGCTATCCACCCACTCCTTACTACAAAAGAATATATAAAAGATAAAAATAAATAAAACAACAATAAAATATGAGTAATCTTGTAACTTATCAATCTCAGACTCTGATTTCTCTTCCTTGACTTAAAATAAATTAAATATAGAATATATTGACTTTGCTAGCAAATAAGTTCAAAAAGGCTTCAAATAGAACTTATACCTATTGATTATGAACTGGGAAAACAAGATATTTGGGATAGAAAATACTTCACTAACTCAATAGGGCTTCTAAGATATTTTAAAATATTCAAAATGTGTATCTTCATCTTTTATTTATAGCACTATGTAAGCTTAAAAAAAAAACCATACTAAAAAAGATAAAAAAAACACTGATAAATGTTTCCAAATATATAATGTCGTAGGCATATATTTTATTGTGGGGTAAGAAGCTTTATACGGTCTCTATTCCTAGCCAAGCTCTCTAGCCTCAAGGTGAGTTCTCCTATGTAGTGTTCCTAGTAGTTTTGATGGAGGTGAGTTCTCAAATAGATCAAGTTAGAAGAATTTCAATAGACGAGTCCTTTAGCAGTATTAGCAACCTCATGGATGAAGTGCTCACACTATTTTGATATGAAAGAAGTTGACTTGAACTATGGGGGTAGAGATAATCATGGTTCATTGAGCAAGAGGAAATGAATTCGATTTTCTTAAATAACCCTTGTGACCACATTGGTGAATTTCATTGGTCGCCCACTG